ATATATATATCTGTTGAACTGACCTGCATATTACATTCTTCACTCTCATTCATCAGCCAACAACAAATAACGAACGATTTATACTTCCGGGTAGTAAATCTGCAAAAAAAAATTAATTACTGTTAGTCAATCACAAAGATTATTTCCTGGGAACATTCATGAAAATACTATTTTATCGAACACGAGAAATCGATAAGATACTCGTGTATAGTGTAATATTATCGCATCATTACTGTTTTTCAAGCAAAATTTAGAAAGATCAGATGAAATAAGAGTCCAAATTAAATTTTCATAGTGCTTTTCGTTGCATGCTAAAAGATTGCTAAAAGATTTTATCATGAACAAATTGAAATGTTAGTACGCGTTTATCAATGATTTCACGGTATCTTAATTTGTGTAATTAATGACGGTTATTGTTCCTTAAAAAACCCAATTTTTTTTTCGTAACATATGAATGTTACTAAAATTATATTTATCCTTTTCATTCATACATATTTAAAATATATATAATTATGTATTGTTATTTCACATTTCTTATTAGTCAGTAATACGTAGTTCTGTATATATACATATATATGTTTTATATATATATATATATATATAAAACAGAATAGTATTGTGTGCAATATACTACATATGTATTATAAAATCCTTTCAATTTATAGTTAGTTTAAATAATTATACACATATATTATATAATTATACTAAATAATTAAATCTTTTTTCTGTATCTTACGAGATTTGTTAATAAAAAAGTTATCTAATTATTTAATAAATTATTTTAATGATAGTACTCTATAAATTATACAAATTTTGTCGTAAAATATATAAATATATACTTATAAATAAATCAACATTACAGTTAAATGATTTAAGCATTATTATCAATGCTAAAATTCCTCTTAGTCTTCCCCCCCCCCCTTTCTCAAGTCATTAAATTAATAGAAAAATCCCATTTGGAGATTACTTCAAATGTGTATGTATGTATATGGACATACATACACATCTGTTAGAGCCATGTGGTTAAAAATAATGTCCTGCACAATATCTTGAATTAAAAGTGCTTATACAATATATTGAGTGTGTTCACTTCGGAGAGAGAGAGACGCTATCAACGTTATTCACAGAGCCAACAACTCTGTAGTATTAATAAGTTCCATGAACAATAAATGTAGCATTCGTCGAGTTAGGTTAAAATGAAGCATAGTAACATTTTATAAAAGAATAGAATATATATTTATAAAATAAATACAATATCAAATTTTTTTCAAGAATTATGAAAGAAAGATTATCTTGCGTATTATACCGTTTGAATCATATTTTCCTTATAATAGAAATAATTTATTTATGTGCATTATTTTTAGAATTTAAACGGTGCTAAAATAATTTATTTCTTCTTGTTAGCAAACCGTATCGCAAATGATATCAACAATGATAAAATATTAGTGGTTAAATCATAAAGAACTGGAAAAAATATTATCTAACGGAGATGCGAGAGAATATGTCATAATTTATGTTACGAAATATTTTGAATAAATCTTTATTATTAAAAAAAATATGTTCCTATTATGTTCAAATATAGATTTATGATAAAGAAACAGATCAAAGAATTAATTAAGGATTTATAAATTAAGGATTAATTAAGGATTTGCTTTACATATTAATACTTACATAATAATTAAATATTTACAATTAAAAAAAATTAAAAATAGTATTTTATGTTAGAAAAGTACATCTTAGAATCGACTAGATCTTTTTCGTCTAATATTCTTGGATTTCTAATTTCTTTGACATGGCCGCCTTTTTTTCTAAATTTTGTTTCCTGTTTTTCTTCAGTGATTTAATTGAATTTGGATACAAACTCAGTTCTGAAACGATGTTTAACCCTTATGTGATATAAATGCAGCAAACGCTAAAGTTGCACCCCAGAATAGAGTTGCCATAAAATAAAATTTTCAAAATTAAAACTTACAGGCCAAAAAAAACTCTAGACATTCCGCTTGAAACCTCGGACGCATATAAAAGTGCGTGTAGGTTATTAAAATTGATCGGAACGCTAGAATAGTAAACAGGAATAATTATGTCACATCAAATTGTTCATTAATAGTACTAATTTAATGTAAGAAATTAACCAATACAGTCGATTATTCTTCTCACATTCAACTACGATTAGTCAATTTTTCACATCTTAAGAATTACTACATCTATTGTAAATCAAGACTAATACAGAATAACGTGACAGAAAAAATAAAAAATTTAGAAGATTTTCTAAAACCCTGGACGCGCTCATAATTGTCCCGAACGCCTTTGGAAAAAATCTCCCAGACATCTTCGCTCTAAAAAAAGAGGATGATGTCTGAGGAAAAAACGGATGGTAACCCTATTTATTCGAAAGGAATAATGTTGATAACGTGCCGATTAAAACGTTATTATTGGTGACCTTATATTATAATTGTAAATGATGTTTATAATTAGCCAACAGCTTGTAATGTTATATAGCGCATACAGTGTCTCTCCGAACGCAGTCATTGCATATCAAGTTGCATATGACATTAGTATCATCATAATTTTGCAAATCAAAATGTATATCACGACGACATCAATTTTCGTGACAGTTTATGTAATACTGATCGTCCAGGAGACTGCTGCCAGTAAATCAATTAATATATTATTTATACCGCGATTATTATTTAAACTGTGAATTTCGCTTTGTGCCTCCATGAGCATCGAAATTTTTAAAAATATTTCTTACAGTGCGTGTTAAAAGTTGTTAAAAGAATATTTTACGGAAGCAAAAAGTAAAATTCTTATCCTTGTAATTAGTTACAAAGATAATTAATTAGAAATTAATTTGTATAAATTATTTTGTAATAGTAATTGCAAATAAGCAATAAGATATAAAGTTGTAAAACTAAGAATTAATTTTCAATAAAAATCAGTTTCTTATTCAGATCTCTTCGTATTTTCTTGATAAATTGAAACTTTCATTATACTTATGATTCATGGAGAAACGTTAATTGTTATCGATTGATTAATTAATAATGTATTTGCGCGATAAGTATAGTAGTTAAACATATTTGTACATAAAGCAAAATATTTGTCGACGTAATAAATTATTATGGAAATATCCCGTATATCAAGATTGATAATTGCTATTACGTCAATACAATTATTTGCACTTCGAATAATTTTTCTTCCAAACCAGAATACAATATTAACTTCAATTTGTGAGTGAGAAATATTTTTTAC